TGAAATATGCAGATAGAAGATTACATGTATGGTAAAGATCTAGATGCGGTATTGAAGGAGAAATTCGAAGACATGGATGAAGCCGAATACAAGAAGATCGACAGGAAGACGATGAGTGCGGTTTGACTAACCCTTTGGGAGAATGTCTCGACTGAATTTAGATTTAAGGCAAAAGGAAAGGGTGAAGATCAAGAATGGTCAAAGTTGAAGCCGAATAATAACGACAAGGAAGATGCAAGTCAGGTGGTATATTGGAATTGCAAGGGGCACTTGAAACGACAGTGCAGGGCGCCGGAGAAGGATCAGGGTTCAGCAAACGCAACGGAGGAGATATCCGATGCGCTGATTCTGAGCGTCAGCAGTCCAATGGAGTCATGGATTTTGGTCGAGCGTCATTCCACTCATGCAGTGATTCGAGAATCATGGAATCCTATACCACAGGTAATTTTGGTGTTGTCTATCTTGGAGATGATGAGACACTGAAAATTGTAGGTAAATGAATGATTCGAATCAGAACACCGAATGGTGAGGAGTGGAGATTGGATGAGGTATGTTGAAGTGAAGATGAAATCAGTCTTCAAGTGGGAGATTGTTGGGATATGAAGCCTGATTATATCCTAAAATCTAGGGATATGATTTGGATATTATATTTTAGATTTTAGAGATATGATTTGGATATTATTGTCAAAGGCTAAGGCTATAAATATCCATGTATTCTCACTTTAACATGTGTCTGCGTACTTTATAGTAAAATTTCTGGCTTGGCAGCGCCCCCAGACGTAGATCATCGTGATCGAACTGAGTTACCAAATTCTTGTGTTCTTTTGTCTTTGTTGTCTCATCTTGATTTCCTGAGAATTTCCATAACATAAATAAATATCAATACTTTTTAATTTACTATAAAACTTTAAAAAAATACTTTTGAGTGGGAAGGGAAAGAGTATTTATTTTGACTCTTCAAATATTTTTTGCATTCTGATCTTGATTTTATTTATATGTTTATTTTAGGTAAAAAATTATATAAATTAAAATAAGCTGATATATTGAATGATAATAAAAATAAATAAAAAATATTAATATACAAATAGAATTATGTTAAATATTTCAATATTATTAATAATTATAAAAAATATATTTATTAAAATTTGTCATATGAATTTTCAATTGAATATGAAGATCAAAATTCCTCATATCTCAACATGGAAGATGAAAATTCAAAATTTTCTTTCTTAAAGTAAATTATAACAAATAACAGAAACTAATGCATTAAAAATGAGTATGACTGATGTTATGGGGGAAATAAAGTTGAAGTATAATGAAAATAAAAATAACGAAAATGAAGATGAAAATTATACTCCCTTCGTCCCACTTAAATAGTCTATTTTTGCTTAGGCAGAGAGTTTTAGATATGGGGTAATTAGTAAGTAATTAAAAAATATATTAGTAAAAATAATTATGGATTAAGATTAAAATAACTAAATAGTTTACTTAAAATAATAAAAAAATATATATATAAATTATGAATTTTAAAATATGGTTAAAATATATAATTATATTTTTTTAAAAAAAATGACAAATTATATGAGACAGATGAAACTTGGACAAATTAAGAGAGAGAGAGAGTAATAATGGTGAATAATAATATGTTGTTTTATACTAATGTCTTTTTGTACTTTTATTTGAATAGTTTGAATATATTTCTACAAGTGTGTTTTTAATACTCCCTTCGTCCCATTGAAAGGTTACCATTTTCTATTTTCGTCCGTCCCAAAACAAGATTACTATTTTCTAATTTAGTAATTGTACTATATACTTCACATAATAAATATCCTTTCAACTTATAATATATTACACAAATGTCATTACATTTATATTACACTATACTAATAGGGGTATTTTTGTCTTTTTTACTACAATCCAATCTAATACTAATATTCAAAAATCTACGTACAAAAAGCAAACGTCACCCTTGTTGCGGGACGGAGGGAGTATAATAAATTATATAAATCAATAATAAAAAATAAAAAAATTAATCTAGAATCATATAAGTGAAAATAAATTATAAAAACTGAAAAATAGCAATATAATCTATGGATAAGATCAATATCTAAATCTACTATATCTAAAATTGATATCTAAAATATTTCAATATCTCCTCTCAAAGTAAGTGGTGTAACAAAAATCAACTTGAGTTTGCAAAGATATATCGAAGTTGATGCAATCGTAATCATCCATCATGCTAGAATCAGAAGCAGTGCCCTAAATTAAATTAAAGTCATAAAAACTCTCACCAAGGCGGAAAATACAGAATTTGAAAATACGGAACTCTCACCAGAGCCAGAAAATATGAAACTCTAACCGGAGCCAAAAAACACAGAACCGGAAATACGGAACTCTCACAAGAGCCGGAAAACACGAAACTGAAAAATACGAAATTCTTACAATAGCCAGAAAATATAGAACTGGAAAATACAAAAATCTCTCAAAAGCCTGGGAAACATAGAACTCTCACCGGAGCCGAGAAAACGACGAGACTTTCAACACAATCAGAAGCAACACTTTGTATTGAACCATGACAAACGATCAAATGCCGAACTCGGATGCAAACTTGAAAATTAAATTTAACTGACAATCAATTCCAGATGGATTTCAAAATCAGAAGACCTCCGGTGGCACCATAAAATAAAAAAATAAAAAAACAAAAAACAAAAGAATATCAAATTTGGGAAACCTCGGGTACATCCTAGAGTGATGTACCTAGAAAAACGGGAGTTAGTAGGTTATATCTACAACAAGAAAAAAGTAGATTCTGATACCATGTGAAATAAATTATAGAAAACAGAAAATTGCATTATTTTTTATCATTAATAAAGGGTCATATATATATATATATATATAGACAACATAAAACAGACTTGATAGACTTAAATGTAAAATGTAAGTAAATAAATATATAGATAAGATTAAATCTAAATCTAAATTTATTAAATTTAAAACTAAATATATAAAATATCTCAATACTATCAAATCAATATAAATATACAAATAATCCAATCAAATTTATCTAAATCAATTAATAAAATTCACCAAACTCTACATGAATTCGATGGACTTAGATTTTTTTTTTTTTTTTGCAGCCCATTTTGAGATAAGTTATACTTTTGGAATATTTTTTGTGATTTAATTTAAGACAATTTCGAAATATTTTTCGCAATTTATTTCAAGATAATTCAGACTCTCGCAGTATTTTTTATGACTTATTTAAGACAATTCAAACTCTCAAAGTATATTTTACGACTTATTTCGAAATAATTCAAACTCTCGAATTATTTTTCGATACTTACTTCGAGACAATGTAAATTCTCGAAGTATTTTTTGTGACTTATTTCGAGACAATTCAAACTCTTGAAATATTTTTGCAACTTATTTCGAGACAATTCATGCTCTAGGAATCGTGACGGATTTTGAGAGGATATATTTTTACAAATTTATTTTGTGATTCATTTCTAAACAATTCATCCACTTTGAATATTAGTGACTTATTTTGAGATAATTCAAACTCTCAAAGCATTTTCGTGACTTATTTTCTAGACAATTCAAATTCTCGAACTATTTTTCCGACTTATTTAGGGACAATTCAAATTCTCGGAGTATATTTTGCGACATATTTTGAAATAATTCAAAGTCTCGGAGTGTTTTTGTGACTTTTTTCGAGACGATTCAGGTTCTCAAACTCTCGGGAGTATTTTGACAACTTTTTTTTAGACAATTTCTACCTCGGTATTTAGAGACAAATATGCAACAATATATTGTCATTAAATAATTTTCGAGATTATGATCGAGATAAGTTATTGCGCAAAGTGATATCTCAAATCATATTTGAGACACTAATTTGTCTCAAAAAAAAGATTCTATAAAACAAGATTGTGTTAAAAATAAAAAATAAAATTCCTGATAATTTTCTGAGATAAATTAACATATTTATATATGGTAATGTTTGTTCAACCATCTCAATTCATGGATCGACATCGTTCAGTCCAATGAATGATCTTCCCAGTCGAGCAAACCTGGGAGTAGACAGAATGCATTAATAACCTAATCCATTACATCATCTTCTAGAATTTGAAATATTTAATAATATTGGGCTCTCAACAAATGTTAGAATAGCAAATGTGCGGTCACGAACTCTCATGTTGGCAATCAATTAAATGTATAATGATTATTGGTGTCCCTAAATTTGGGCATTATATATAAATATATATATATATATATATGTATTGCATGGATAGACACCAACGAAGCATTACAAATCATCTCCATTCATTATTATTATTATTATTATTATTGTAATAATATTTTGGAAGTAAATAATATCGAACAGCATTACCAACACCTCACATGGCTGGCTGGCTGGCTGGCTGGCTGGCCATGCATGCCTTCCAACAATGATTGTTTTATATGTTTAGACATGTTCAAATCGAATTGATAATTTTAATTTGCTCGCCGAATTAATAACTAATCGTGACCTGGCCAGTAATTTTACGAGCCGGCAACGCCGGAACAAAATTGTCACCAATTAATTAATTAAAAATAACATGTGGCAAAACAAACTTTTTATTTTTAGCAGTAGTTGCACGAACTTAATCGGTCCATTAAATTAACAAGCTAAGGGTCGACTATTATTTTAATTAATTACTATTAATTGTTTATTGTGGATCATATATATATATATATATATTATTACATATGATATTCAGGCATGAACTTGACACGTGTGCCGATAACATGCCGGCCCCCGCTCCCACCCCAGGGTTAGAATTTAGAAGATCCTGGACTTTCAACACCAGAGAAAGCAGCCACACGGGTGGAGCAGAGCTCCATGGACCTCGCAAGACTTGTCGTCTCTTTGGATTGCTTACGCCATCTCATCACTAGTAGTAATAATACAGACAAACTCTCCAACCATACATAAATAATGAAAAATTAGCACTCAAGTTTTTTCTTGTCATCGTCCAATTCGATCCATTATTCTTCATAATCGTCATCTTCGAATTGAAAAGGAGGCCTGGGAGATGGGGAACTGCCAGTGCCAGTGCGAGGCTGTGGATGCTCAAGCTGCAGCAGCAATGGTGATAGTGATACAGCACCCAAACGGGAAACAGGAGACGATGAATTCTCCGGTCACCGCCGCGGAGGTGATGCGACGGAACTCCGGCCACTATGTGTCTCTTATAATCCCCAACCACCAACGGACCACCGTACGCCTCAAGCTTCTCCGGCCACCAGAAACCCTAATTCTTGGCCGGGCTTATCGCCTCATCACCACTCAAGGTCACGTGACGTCAAGTGACTTGTCTCTCGTTCATTCATTCTTCATTTTTCATTCTTCTTGCTTAATTTAATTAGTATATGTCTATTAATTATTGATGATATTCTGTGTATTCTTTCATTTTGCAGAGGTGATCAAAGTGCTGAGGGCAAAGAAAAATGCAGCCACACTCAGAAAACATGATGATGATGATGATGATCATGATGTGTCTGAATCAGATGAAGTTTTGCATCGAGAAGGAAACGACAACGAGTTTAATCTTCAGGTTACAAATCTGAAATATGTCTTTATTAAAAATATACTTTTGGGGACGATTTCTGAAAAGAAAAGAAAAAAAAAAAAAAAATTCATTAACAGATGGCAATTTTTTCAGGACATAAGAAAACTTGATGGACATCATCGTCATCATCAGCAGCAGCAGCAGAGATCAAGATTGAAAAACTTCAGGTCGAATTCATGGAAGCCATCTTTGCTCAGCATTTCAGAGGCTTGAGGTTGATGTTTATATCTATATATATCTCTCTCTATATATATATATATATATTCTAAGAATGGAGGATTATTGTGCAGACCCACCCACCCCCAGCTACCAATTCCGATCGAAATCATGACCTGCAAATAATAATATTTAATTCGTTATTTTGTATAGCTAATAAATAGATAGCCATTAATATATATATCTATATTGTCATAATCAATTTTTTTCTACTCTTCCGCAGTTCAATTTTGTTTCTATAGATAGATAGATAGATACAGATTGATGTGTGTGGGTATAAAGGAAAAGCTGCAGCTTCAAAGAAGTGATGGAAGTAATTAATCTAAGCAGGCTTAAAAGACAAAATTCAAACAAGTGTTCTAAGATGTAATTATAAGCCAATTAAACCAAATTATAACAATATTCTTCTTCTTCAATTTATAAAATATAATTAAAGGTGCCTTTGACAATGAGTTCATACTTATTAGTTGCTTTGATTTAATTAGTAATTTATATTAAAATTATTTGTATACAATTTTTAACTATTCATTACAATTAAAATATTATTATATTTTAAACTTCACATAAAAAATAAATTTATACTTTTAAGACGGACGGAGGTAGTAATATATTTTTTAATTAACAACTCAATCTATATGATCATTTCTAGCAACTTGTGGAACTTCTTTAGTTAATCTAACACCCGTTGGAACTTGAGAAGTATGGACGACAACCAATCTATCACTCGATTAAGTAGGTTGAGCTTTATAGTGATATCTTTCAAAATGAGTATCTTGAAATTATCACTCTTACTAATCAAGTCATTCTCGAGAAATTTAGTATTTCTTGATTCCACAATTCTAGTGCTATGAGATGGATAATAAAATTTGTATCCTTTGGACTTTTCAACATATCCAATGAAATACCCACTAAAAATCCTAAATTTAGCTTCTTTTCTTGTAGATTGTAAATTCTCACTTCAAATGGGCATCCTCGAAACACGTAAATGTCGCAAAATCGGTTTCCAACCTTGAATAATTCAAATGTGTCTTTGAAATAGCCATGGTTGGTACCCGGTTTAATATATAGGTGGTCATCTTCAGTGTCTCAATCCACAAAAATTGAGGAAGTTTTACATTACTCTTCATACTTCTTATTATGTCCTTTAATGTTCGATTTTTTTGTTCTGAAACATCATTTTGGTCCGGAAAGCCAAGGATAGTGTATTGAGCAACAATCCTATTTTCTTGAAGGAACCTCATAAATAGACCGGCAGTTTATCCATTTTCGGTGTATTTGTCATAATACTCACCACCTCTATCAGATCTCACGACCTTAATTTGTTTTTCGCATTATTTCTCCACTTCAGTCTTAAAATTTTTAAAGGTTTCTAATGCTTCATCCAGCAAGTAGAGATACATATATCTTGAATAATCATCGATAAAGGTAATAAAGTATTTCGGACTACTTGTATCTATGTCTCGACAACAAAAGTCTGTATGAATAACTTTCAAAATGATTCAAATTCTTTTGTGCACCATTTATGGACTTGTTAGTTTGCTTGTCTATAATGCAATTTATATAAGTTTCGAAATCAGTGAAATTCAGGGTACTAAGTATCTCTTCATTCATTAATCTCTTTACTCTATCAATTGAGATACGTCTCAATCGACGATGCCACAACATAGAGGAGTTTTCATCATAACATATCGTTTCATACCAGTAGTGACATGCATTGAATTATAAGTAGTGTTATTTTGCAATTTAATTGAACAAATACCATAATTTATTTCACCACAACCAACGGTTCTACATTCAAAATCCAAAATAAAAGTAAAATCCATTAAGTGAAACAAAAAACCCAAACATAATATTCTAGATACAGAAATCAAATTCTTGAAAAATTTAGGAACATAAAAAGTCTTTTTCAATGTCAAAACAAAACCACTATTCAGCAGTAAACTGCGCATTCCAATAGCTTCCACAGGTGAATGCATCCGACTGTCTGAATATATGAACTATTCACTTCTCATGAGTTTCCTTAGGCTTTTTCATACCATGCAAGGTATTGGAAACATGAATGGTAAAATCAGAATCAATCCACTATGTGTTATAGTTAATATTAACTATATTAGATTCATAACAGACAAATGTGGAAATGATACTTTTCCTTTTTAGTCAGATTTTGAAATTAATGCAGTCTTTCTTCATATGCCATTTCTTTTTACAAAAAAAAACATGTAGACTCATTCTTTATAACCCGCTCAGTTGGCATAGGTCTTTTACCCTTAACATCATGTTTTATTTTCTTGTCATGAACTATCAGGTTCATTTTCTCACATTCCTCCAATAATAGTCGTTCCTCTTGGACACGCATTGTCATCAACTCGTTAATAGAGCATTTATCCTTATATGTGTTGTAGAAGATTTTGAATGGACCGTATTGATGAGGCAGAGTGTACAAAAGGGTATAGACAAGAAAAGACTCAGACATGGTCACCTCCAAGGTTTTCAGCTACGTCGTAATGTCCCATATCCGCATTGTGTGCTCGCGCACACCCCTCACACCCGTGAATTTCACGGTGGAGAACTGAATAATCAGCATGCTAGAAAGAGCTTTAACAGACTTGATGAATTTTTCGTCAATGGCCTTCAAAAGCTCTCTGATATTAGTATGTTGATCGACAGATGCACGAATACCGGCAGATATCTTGGTCTTTATGAGTGTTATGGAAAGACGGTTAGATCTCATCATCGCTCATAAAGATCCACCTCATCTGCCTTGTTGAATTCAGTAATATCTGGCGGCTCTTCTTTCTGGATAGCATAATCAATATCCATCTAGCCTAGATCGAGGAGAATTCTCTCCTTTCAGATTTTGTAGTTATCATCAGTTAATTTGGGAATATCACACTTAATATCAGATAAATTCATAGGGTTAACCCCTGCAAAATTAAATATATACGCATATCAATAAATGAGACAAATAAATTACATGTTCTACCGATGTAAACATACTAAAATATGAATCTAAAGCCCGTCTGTGACCTAAAGTTTTGCTCAATTATACCATCTGCAATCTAATGATAAAACTATCAAATTGTATTTTTTTTTTTAATTTATGTGGGTAGATTAAGAAATATAATTTAATATTTTCTTTCAATTAACCATATAAATATAATGAGACTCTCGTGGATAGATCTCATCACATTATATATGATAATTAAATTCAATGTTTATAATATGATTTTAAATAAATTCATAAACAAGATTTAATAAATTGGGGATGTTGTGAATATTCCATAATTAATTAAAATTTAAACAAATCACATACATCATATTATAACGCAGAATCTCAAAGTTGCATACGTAAATATATTTATGGCAAAACGAACATATGCAGGCATAATAGAATCAGACAAACTGATGAATCAAACAACATTCAATATTTAAATTTCCTTTCAAATAATGTAATATAATATGATAGTGTTCAGTGCACATAATCAATTAAAGAAATACATGCAGTAAGCTCACAACAATCTATCACTAGTCACAACTAGCATTTTAAGTATTCTAAATAAATAATTATTGCAGCTAAGAATTTGTTATACAAATCAATTGATGCTTGATTATCAAACACAGATCCAAGCCATATATATATATATATATATAATTAGATTAGGCTTATTACAACAACATACTTCAATCAAATTAGAAGTGCAAATACTTTTTAAAGCAAAATTATGCACACTTGTTTACCCATATTGAAATTGCATTCATAAAAATCTACAAAAATTTGTCATTATTTCCAATAAATATAAATTTTATTTATTGAACTAGGTCACATAAAGCAAATTACAGGCAATTCAACGATGGTGTAAGTACTAAACACATTGATTTAATAAAGAAGAATTGTGCATGACATTATTCATAAATTGGTTGCAGACCTTCTATATAAAATTAAATCTTGCACGGGAATGCATTAAATTAATCATTATTACACAAATAAATTAAATTTGAATCTGAACGCATCATCGAATAGAGAAACTAAATCACTTTAAATCAATCGCACATTGAACGGATTAAAAAAATGTATTCCAGATGAGATCGAGAAACTTTTTCAAAAAATAGATGTTTTTCTGAAATTAATTTTCCCAAATAATTTCGAAATCGAAATTCTAAGTTTTCTCAAATGCAAATCTGATCTTGATAAAAAAAAATATAGTAAGAAGAGAATTCAAAGCAACGTAATGGCAAAATCACTCTATAACAAATGTTAGAAATAATTAAATTTTTACATATCGATTTAAACATTAAACTATACATGCGTAAATAGAATAAATCAGCGGAGCAAATACAATAATTAAATTAACCTCAATGAATTGCTTTATAAACAAATTAGAACTTCGGATCTCCTTCTTCGAGAAAAAAACAATAAGTTGAACTTCAAAAAGATATTGTCAAACCCTTACTCTCAAATACCATTGGTGTATTCTTAATTTTTGAGAATAGTGTAAATCGTATGTTGTCAAACGGTTTCTCAAATGCCGCTTCTCACGTGTTGATGGACTTAATAGGAGAGAAAAGACCACAATTTATAGATAGTTTAGATAATCAAATTAATTAAAAAATAATCCAATGGATATATAAATTATATATTAAACTTAAATTTGCTTAATTAATTAATTATGCTTATTAAACTAACAGTAAGAGTATACAAATAGACTTAACTTGGCCCAACATGTTAGTTTAATTAATTAATTAATCATATTTGAATTTTGATTATTTTTGAATTATCTTATATAATTAAACTAACCTAAAATTGTGGCCACTTTTCTCCCATTAAGTCTATCACATTCAAAATATACGTGAGAAGTAGCAGAAAAATCGTGATGGACGGTTTTTCTTTTAATTATAAATACTCTCACATACGGGTTACTAAACATACTCTCAGAAAATTAGAATACACCATCGCTATTTGAGAGCCAGGGTTTGGCAACATCATCCTAGGGTTCCACGATCTGGCACTATCTTCGGAGGTTTCCAAAGTTTGGCAACATCCTCCCAAGGGGTCCAAAGTCTGACAACACCGTCTTCCCACGGTTCCAATCCACGTTTTGCTTGGAGAAGAGAATATCGAGAATAAATCTAATTTTTAGCAATGGCAGGAAGTTTGTTTAAATTTCGCTTCCGCCAACATATTTGATTATATGTTTATTTTCTTACATTTGGTATCAGAGCGATTTTTGCCTCTACCTTGCTTAGAATTTTCTTCTCCTCAAATTCTTGATCAAGATTCGCTTTAAATTCTTATTTGAAAATATTTTGGTTTTCTATTTTCAACAATTGTTTTGCGATATTTTCTTGATCAAAATCCGATCCTGCGATTTGAGAAAATTTCATTCTGTCTTTGAGGAAAATTTTAAATTTTATTTTGAAATTAATTTATGCAAAATATTAAATTTTTGAATTTTCCTTGCGTTTCGATGGAGTGTTCAGATTCTTCTGTAATATTTTATGTGCACTTCATATATGTGTCGACTTGTATGCGCAATTAATTATTCGAGGAAGCTTTTCGGTGTTGAATATATGAGATGATATTTATCTGCAATCGAAATCATATTTGTATGGTTTTGTTATCGATTGTGGTGTTTTTTATACAATCGAGTTGCGGCGCATACATGTTAATTAATTTAATAAAATCAAACATGTACCTATGCGCATTAATGTATCTGCATTCAGTCCAAATTTCTAATGATATCATCCGGAATCATATATACATATTATTTGCAAATATGGATTAATTGCAAGTGAAATCACTCCAAATCCATTCATGAAAATCAATTATGCAAACATACATATTATATTTGTTTTGTTTTATTTATTTATTTGTATATATAGCAGCTAATTGTATTTTGAATAAGGATGAATCATGCTGCGTTGGTTTATTTATTATTATTATACTTAATATTACTGTAATGATAAGGCATGCTGAATTATTATTATTATTATTATTTTGCATATATCTGCACTACATTCTTGATTGGAGCATGCCGATGGTATAAATCTGATTTATTTATGTGAACTTCAGTTTATATATTCATGATGTTTGTGATTTATTTTAAATTTTATTTAATTGCAAGAATAGCCACAACATCCTCGATTAATTAAAATTTTATTCATGATTTATTTGAAATCACATTAATGGACATCAATTGTGATTATCATGTACGATATGATGAGATCTACCCACAGGAGTCTCGTTATATTTGTACGAGTAATTAGGATAGAATATCGAGTTGTATTTCTTAATCTACCCACAGGAATTGAGAAAAGGAACACAATTTGATAGTTTTATTGTAAAGTTTTTGATGAAATCTAATTGAGTAAAACTTTAGCCCACAGGCAAGTTTTATGTCTCTAGATTCATGTTTTAACGTGTTTACATTGGTAGAACATGTAACTTATTTGTCTCGATTATTGATGAGCATGTATGTTTAATTTTGCAGCATTTAATCCTATGAATTTCTCTGACATTAAATATGATATTCCTGAATTGACTGGTGATAATTATAAGATCTGGAAGGAGAGGATTCTCCTTCATTTAGGCTGGATGGACATTGATTATGCTATACGGAAAGACGAGCCGCCAGTTATTACTGAAACCAGCGAGCCAGATGATGTGGATCTTTATGAGCGATGGGAGAGATCTAACCGTCTTTCCATGATGCTCATAAAGACTAAGATCTCTGCTGGTATCCGTGCGTCTGTCGATCAGCATGATAATGTTAGAGAGCTTTTGAGGGCTATTGATGAACAATTCGTCAAGTCTGATAAGGCTCTTGCCAGCACACTGATCATTCAGTTCTCCACCATGAGGTTCACGGGTGTGAGGGGTGTGCGCGAGCACATAATGCGCATGCGGGACATTGCGGCGCAGCTGAAAAGCTTAGAGGTGACCATGTCTGAGACCTTTCTTGTCCATTACATATTGTGCACTTTACCTCATCAGTACGGTCCATTTAAGATATCCTATAACACACATAAAGATAAATGGTCCATTAATGAATTGATGACCATGTGTGTTCAAGAGGAGGAGAGACTACTGATGGAGGAAGGTGAGAAAGTAAACCTAACGGTCCATGGCAAAAAGAGAAAGCATGACACAAAGGGGAAAGGACCTGTGCCAGCTGAGCGGGTTATAAAGAAGGAGTCTACGTGTTTTTTCTGTAAAAAGAAAGGACACATGAAGAAGGACTGCATTAAGTTCAAAACCTGGCTCGAAAAGAAAGGTATCCCTTCTGCATTTGTCTGTTATGATCCAATATGGTTAATATTAATTATAACACATGGTGGATTGATTATGGTTCTACAATCCATGTTTCCAATACCTTGCAGGGTATGGAAAGCCTAAGGAAACCAATGGGAAGTGAACAGTTCATCTATTCCGGTAGTCGGATGCGTTCGCCTGTGGAAGCCATTGGGACGTGCAGTTTAGTGCTGAGTAGTGGTTTTGTTTTGAAGTTGGAAAAGACTTTTTATGTTCCTAGTTTTTCCAAAAATTTAATTTCTGTATCGAGACTATCATGTTTGGGTTTTTCATTTCACTTTATGGATTCTAGTTTCGTTTTGGATTTTGAATCTAGAACCGTTGATTGTGGTGAAATTAATGATGGTCTTTATTCGATCAAATTGAAAAACGACACTACTTTTGATTCACTGCATGTCACGGCTGGTTTAAAGCGATGTGTTATGAATGAGAACTCATATATGTTGTGGCATCGTCGATTGGGACATATCTCAATCGACAGAATTAAGAGATTAGTGAATGAAGGGATACTTGGTACCCTAGATTACACTGATTTTGAGACTTGTGTTAGTTGCATTAAAGGCAAGCAAGCTAACAAGTCCATAAAGGGTGCACAAAGGAGTTCGAATCTTTTGGAAATTATTCATACAGACATTTGTTGTCCAGACATGAATGCAAGTAATCCGAGATACTTCATCACCTTTATTGACGATTGTTCACGGTATATGTATCTTTACTTACTTCATTCTAAGGATGAAGCTTTAGAAGCCTTTAAAGTTTTCAAGGCTGAAGTAGAGAAACAATGTGGAAAACAGATCAAAATCGTCAGATCTGATAGAGGTGGTGAGTACTATGGCAGATACACAGAAAATGGACAAGCTGCCGGTCCATTTGCTAGATTTCTTCAAGAGAATGGGATTGTTGCCCAATACACTATGCCTGGTTCTCCGGACCAAAATGGTGTTTCAGAACGAAGAAATCGAACATTAATGGACATGGTGAGGAGTATGAGGAGTAATGTGAAACTTCCTCACTTCTTGTGGACAGAAGCGCTAAAGACGGCTGCGTATGTATTGAATCGGGTACCAACCAAGGCTGTCTCAAAGACACCTTTTGAATTATTCAAGGGTTGGAAGCCGAGTTTGCGACATATACGTGTTTGGGGATGCCCGTCTGAGGTGAGAATTTATAATCCACAAGAAAAGAAGCTAGATCCGAGGACTATTAGTGGGTATTTCATTGGATATGCCGAAAAGTCTAAAGGATATAGATTCTATTGTCCGTCTCATAGCACTAGAATTGTGGAATCGAGAAATGCGAAATTTCTCGAGAATGACTTGGTTAGTGGGAGTGATCATATTCCAGATACTCATTCTGAAACAGATCACTATAAAGATCAACCTACTAAGCTGAGTGATAGATTGATTGTCTTTCACGCTCCTCAAGTTCCAACGCGTGTTAGACGATTAACTAATGAAGTTCCACAAACTGATGAAAATGATCACGTACATCAAGTTGTTAATGAAGAACATCAAGAAAATGTTGAACAACATGCTGTTGAATCAGTTGGTCAGTAAGTTCTTCGTGATAATGATGAAACAACATTAAGAAGATCTACACGAGTCAGAAAGTCAGCTATTTCTAGTGACTTTATGGTGTATCTTCAAGAATCAGATTACGATATAAAAGCCGCAAATGATCCTGAAACATTTTCACAAGCCATGAATTCTAAAGAATCCGATTTATGGCATAGTGCTATGAAAGACGAGATGGACTCTATGGCATCAAACAAGGTATGGGATCTTGTCGAGTTGCCTGATGGTGTAAAAGCCATTGGATGCAGATGGGTCTTCAAAACCAAAATAGACTCTGATGGCAACATCGAAAGACATAAAGCAAGACTTGTTGCTAAGGGATTCACTCAAAGGGAAGGAATCGATTACACCGAGACATTTTCTCCGGTATCTAAGAAAGATTCCCTCCGTGTGATCATGGCATTAGTAGCTCAGTTTGATTTTGAGTTACATCAGATGGATGTGAAAACAGCATTCCTGAATGGTGATCTAGAGGAAAAGGTTTATATGAAACAACCTGAAGGATTTACCTCTAGTGGTGGAGAAAATTTAGTTTGTAAGCTTAATAAATCCATATATGGATTGAAGCAAGCCTCCCGTCAGTAGTATTTGAAATTTCATGATGTTATCTCTTCATTCGGCTTTGAAGAAAACGTCATGGATCACTGTATATACCAGAAGGTTAGTGGGAGTCATATTTGCTTCCTTGTGTTGTACGTGGATGACATTTTGCTTGCAACTAATGATAAATGGATGTTACATGAGGTGAAACAATTTCTCTCAAGGAACTTTGATATGAAAGATATGGGAGAGGCATCTTATGTCATTGGCATTAAGATCCATAGAGATAGAAATCGAGGCATTTTGGGTTTGTCTCAAGAAGCCTATATCAAGAAAGTTCTAGAAAGATTTAATATGAAAGATTGTTCACCAAGTGTAGCTCCCATTGTGAAGGGTGACAGGCTCGATTTGAGTCAATGTCCGAAAAATGACTTTGAAAGGGAACACATGAGCAATATCCCTTATGCTTCAGCAGTAGGAAGTCTTATGTATGCTCAAGTTTGCACCAGGCCTGACATAGCATATGCTGTTGGAGTATTAGGGAGATATCAGAGTAATCCAGGTGTTGACCACTGGAAAGCTGCAAAGAAAGTGATGAGGTACCTTCAAGGTACGAAGGATTTTATGCTCACATATAGACAAACTGATGTGCTGGAAGTCATTGGCTACTCCGATTCGGACTACGCTGGCTGCATTGACACTCGGAAATCCACATCGGGTTATGTGTTCATGTTGGCTGGTGGAGCCATCTCTTGGAGAAGTGCAAAGCAGTCTATCACTGCTACTTCCACTATGGAGGCTGAGTTTGTTTCATGTTTCGAGGCTAGCTCGCATGGTGTATGGTTGAAGAGTTTCATATCCGAGCTCAGAGTCGTTGACTCTATTTCCAGACCGATTAAGTTGTACTGTGACAACTCTGCTGCGGTATTTATGGCTAAAAAAAATAAGAGTGGGAGTCGAAGTAAACACATCGACATCAAATATTTAGCCTTAAGAGAACGTGTCAAGGAAAATAAAGTGGTCATTGAACACGTTAGTACAGAGTTGATGCTTGCTGATCCCCTGACTAAGGGCATGCCACTAAAGAGTTTCAGGGATCACGTAGCAAGTATGGGACTTGATTCTACAATGTAGTTTATTTGCACACATTGTTATTTGAGACTCTTATTCAGTTTGATGTTTTCTCGCTTTATTGTGCACATATTTATTTATTATTGAGAAAACTCGCTTATGTTTAACCCGGAATAAATATAAGATTTATTCATTAAGTTGTTAATTTAGTTTGAGATGCTTGACATATCGTGATACATGGAAGGTAACATTCGTTTATAGAAGACCTACCGCCATGATTCGTATGTAAGGTTTTTCGTTATGTTGTGATAGTTTGAGTGGGCCAAGTGGGAGAATGTTAGTTTAATTAATTAATTAATCATATTTGAATTTTGATTATTTTTGAATTATCTTATATAATTAAACTAACCTAAAATTGTGGCCCACTTTTCTCCCATTAAGTCTATCACATTCAAAATATACGTGAGAAGTAGCAGAAAAATCGTGATGGACGGTTTTTCTTTTAATTATAAATACTCTCACATACGGGTTACTAAACCTACTCTCAGAAAATTAGAATACACCATCGCTATTTGAGAGCCAGGGTTTGGCAACATCATCCTAGCGTTCCACGATCTGGCACTATCTTCGGAGGTTTCCAAAGTTTGGCAACATCCTCCCAAGGGGTCCAAAGTCTGACAACACCGTCTTCCCACGGTTCCAATCCACGTTTTGCTTGGAGAAGAGAATATCGAGAATAAATCTAATTTTTAGCAATGGCAGGAGGTTTGTTTAAATTTCGCTTCCGCCAACATATTTGATTATATGTTTATTTTCTTACACAACAAGCTCCCATACTTGACAGTAATCATAACCACATTACATTTATTTATTTATTTATTTATTTATTATTATTAATATTATTATTATTTTGTCCATTAATTTCATCTTACAGTTTGCATTTAGATATGTTATTTTGAAAATAAATAAATAAATAATAAATATTTGATGTAATTGTCGGAGTTGACTAAAAAAAAGAGAGAAAAATGAACTTGTGAAATTATTTGTAGCCAATCAATACGTAGGATTCAAAAAGACGTTTTGTGCACTGAACTTATGTGGGTTTTTTTATGTTATACTCTTTTCGTACTATATACAATACATAGTTATTGTAAACACGTGGGACAAATAGAGTAGCAAATTTAAGAATAAGTTAAATGTGGTTTACTATTATTACTATAAATTCACTATCCTTTGATAATGTGATACTAATGTTCATTTTGAATATTCGGTTCCGCACATAACCAATACAATTACATTATTTTATCTCATAAAATATTATAATAAACTACTATTTAAATTAAAACTAATTAAAAGACTCAAATTAAAATCAAACAAATATTTGTACATTCCAAATCCAACAACATATTTTTATTTAATATAAGATGTGTTGAAGCCCATAACTCGTAACAAAAGCTATTACATGCATTATTCATATGTCACAAGTGTATAAAAATATTTTGTAGGTGCGGTGAGTGATTGATAATGCGGAAAAAGATGGAGATCTTTTATGAAACAAATGACTGCTTAAATAAAAGAAAATTTTATAAATATTGACGTGAGTACAA